ATAGTACAATTGTTCTATCTTGTCGGTTCATTGTTAGGATTAAATGAGTTAATATTGTGTATTGCATAGTTTAGTACCTAGCATATAATAACATGTAATCAGTATTTTTTTTAGAAGTAGCAGTTCTAGGTTCACTGAAAGAACAAAAGATGGATGACTAAAAGTCTTGATATCTAAGGAGCTGACAATTGAGTTAGCAACCTAAGACCAATGCAAAGATATAATTAGTTAGAAATGTGGTACAACTGAGTGCCAACTTTTACATATCTTTCAACTATAGACACTCATTACCATCTATTTGGGCTCTGAATAATGAGATGGATTTAATATGCAGAAGGTTACCTGGCAAGGCTGAGGCCTTGGGACAAACTGAGCTGAGGGCTCCTCAATGAATGGATATGTGGCAAGCAGTGCAGAGATGAGAAAGATCAGCTTAAAAGTATGAAAGGTCATCAATAGAATTCAGAGACTTTAAACTACTTCTAGCGTCAGACTATATGGAGGTCAGCCCTCTGTATGAGGCTCCATGCGTAAACCCTGCTTGTTAATTGTTGCTTCTATTCTCTCATGTATGAAGTTACTCCATAGGCCTTGGCACCAGATAAATGTACAAAAAAATGACATGAATATTAGCAGGACTATGACACGCACTAATAAGGGAAATAAGCTTTTTCATCCCAGAGACTGTCCCTAAGAGCCAAGCCAACTCCGTTCTTCAAAGTGTTATTCTCAGGATTAGGAAACGAGCTGCCTTAGTAATGAGGTCTCCAGTTGCTCTGCTGTTTGGATTGTGTCTTCTGCCATTATCACTTGGGAATAGTAAGTGTTGTTTTGGAGACAGAGATATCTAGCATTGGGGTCAGACAATTTGTACCTTATTAAAAAACAGCTAAGCCAAAGTTAATGCTTTGTGACCCAAAGATGAAATTCTTCCAGGGGATGGGCTTGTGAGAATCTGGGGGAACTTAATGTGACTTCACGACTGGTGTCAGGCACAGGAAGACTGAGATAGGCGTTATTTCCTTCCTCTCTAAATAGTTTCTTGAGTTATCACATTCTTGGTGCTACCTAAAGATTAGCCAGCAAAGGAGGAAGAACTATAACTCTGCTCAGTGTGATATTAGTGACCCTCTGCTAAGGAAAATCATAGGCTCTTCAGTACATTAACATGATTCTATAAAGTAATGGTTAGTAAAATAACTGATGGGTTTTAAATAATTTTAGAAAGGGCATTGACAAAAATCTGAGAAACACTGCATAACTATCGGTTAAAAAAAAAAATCCTTAATCTATGATTGCAGGAAGTCAAATTTCCAGAGTGGTGGATATAATTCAGGCACAAGCACAACTCTCTAGAAGACTCAAGAAACAGGCTACGTGGTAAGTTTTTCTTGCTTAACTGCTGGGATAGGGAATGTTTATGACAGCGCATACTGTTACCGCGCTCAGTGGGGAACGTGGACTCTTATAAGAAAGAATGTGATTTCCAAGAAGTTGGAAATGTAGATGAATAGACTGATGTAGAGAAGGTGGCCATAAAGCACTTGGAAGGCTGTAACTGGATCCTCTACCAAAGGCTGTTCAAGAATCTAAGCTTGATGAGAAAAAAGACCATCTTGGGTCATCTTTTTTTCCTTAGCACTGGCACAGTACTTATACTTGTGGCTTCCCTACACATTGAACTCTTGAAGAAATTGTTTTGCTTGTTAAAACCAACAACAATTTTAGTTTAAGCAAATTGAAATACACAGGAGACTATTTGTTTTAGATTTCAAAGTTTGCTTTATTAATATATAATTTCGCATATTTATATGATACATGTGATTGTTTTGATACATACAATGTGTAATTATAAAACCAAAATAGTTAGAATGTGCATCACCTCAAACATGTATCATTTCTTTGTATTGGGAACACTTCAAATCTTCTCTTTTAGAAATCTTGAAATATGAAACACATTATTATTGCCTCCTGGACCATTGAGCATCAAAATGGATTCCTTCTATCTACCTATATGTTTGTACCTGTTAACCAACCTCTCTTCATCCACAACCTCACCATTTTCAGCTTCTAGTAATCATCATTCTCTTCTCTACCTCCATGAGATCAACTTTTTAAGCTCTCACATATAAATGAGAACATATGATATTTTTCTTTCTGTGCCTGGCTTATTTTGTTTTAAAAATTTATACATAATAGTTGTACATATATACAGGGTACATGTATTTTGATGCATGCATAGAATAAAAATGCTTGGGAGATTTTTTAAAATTCAGGAGACGAGGATAAATAAGTTTTCTTCTCCAAAGAAAAAACTGTAAACAGTACGCTCATCTGGGATTGGGTCAGGAACAGGACTGTTTCACCTTTTTTGTAATTTGAAAGTGAGGAAAGGCAATACAAATTTCGAAGTCAATGAGATTACCTGAATTTTGAGGTTTCGGTCTCTCTGCACCCTCTCTTCTTTTTTATCTCTCATTTTTCCCTCCTCACCTACTTTCCTAGACCTTAGGTAAGTAACCCTATCCTTGACTACATTTTAAATTTCCCCATTCCACTCTGCATCCCTTTACTGATTATTCTCTTGGATGGAGCTGGGATAGCATTTTTGGGGGGTGTTATCAGTTTAACTAATGATCTGGAGAAGAGGGAAGCAAATATTTGAGGCCACAGACATGAATAAGATCTTCTAGTTGATCAAATGAAATTATATTTTGAAAATAATGTGAACTAATTTTACTGTAGGCAAGTATAAAGAAACTGTGATTTTACAATGATGGGCTCCACGCTATAAATTATAACCCAGGCAAGGGATCTAGATGTCACTGCAGATTGTTTCTAGATATATTCGTTGGATGAACTACTATGACCTGAGGGAGAAGTAAAATATGGTGCATCTTCAAGAAAGGGATTAGAGGATTAGAGGCAAAACTGAAAATTACATTCAATTTAATCCACACCTGTGTTAGGGTAATACATGCAGCAGTGCGTGGATTTGGTCAACGCACTTCAAGAAAGATTTTAAAAGAGCATAAAAATGTCCATATGAACAACTGGAAGGGAAATTATAAAGTTAAGACTAGGATAATCACATATTTGTTTACAAATCCAGGAATATTAGATTGAAAAGCCTCCACCCTTACCCCTGATCATCTTAGAAATTTAAGCTTGCTAATTTGGGGAAAACAAAAAAGAAATAACTGTAACTTCTAATAACACTGGTATTTATTGAGAGTTTCCTATATGTCAAACGCTAGATCAGACTCTTCAAACAAGTAACCCATTTAGTTTTCATGGCAACTGTATGAAATACTAAAATACTCAATTAACAAATGAGTTAAATATTAGGGTTAAGATTCCGAAGAGCTATTGAGGAATTTATGCAGGAGAGCTCCATGAACAGGTTTTTGAAAACAGTGTAATATCAACATCTGGGAGGAAGACTTAGACTAATATCAACCAAAATGAGACAGATTAGTTGGGAGGCCATTGTGGTGATCATAGAGGATGGTGATGGCAGTCAGTAGCAGAGTGTTGGTAAAAAGCATGAGGAGGAGGGGACAGGAAGAGAGAATTTCAGGAGGCACTGTCTTTGTGTGGAAAAGGGAAGGGTGGTAATCAGAACAGTCCTCAGCTTTCTGAATGGAGATAATGGTTAAGTATGGTGAGTATTATTAGGAGTACATGTGGGCATAAGGAGCAAGGTTAATCTGTTCCAGTACAATCTCTCATGCTGGGTCTATTTGAGATAAGACAAAAAGAAGGTGGATCAGCTTATTTCTATCCCCAGCATAGCTTGGAATATGCATGATTGAAGTGAAAATAGGGTGATTTGTCCTTCTCTGGTTAAATGAATATTGTCTTTGCTCTCATACTAGAAAAACCTGTTCCCTACTTGAAGAGACACCCTCAGATTCATTTGCCAGCTTTTCTACCTATGGTTAGAATTCAAGGAGACAATCTGAATATTGCAGTGCTATATCAAACCATTTTTCATGATTCTAGAAGATATTTGTTGCAAGGTCTCTAGAAAAAAAATTCAGTAGAAGTGTTCCCTTTTTTACTCTTTGACTGTCACTGAGGATTTTAGATGCAGGGCTTAAATAAACAAAGACCAGGACCTAGGGTTCTGGGAAGGAGAAACACTCAGGACTCTCATGGGACATTTGGCATTGAAAACTGCTAATGGTGTTAAAAGGATCTCAGTCTCGCATCTTTTATCCTTCACTATTCCTCATTGGATCTTTGGGAATTCAGGAGTTTGCTGAGAAGGAACTCTAGAGCTGAGCACATTTGATGTATCGCCTGCTTCTTCCTTGACCTCGACCCACTTCTTCAATGGCCGGGTAGTTGTTTGTTTCTTTTTTTAAACAGCTTTATTGAAGTCAGTGGATATATAATATACTTCATATATTTAATGCGTACAACTTAATGAGCTTGGCAATATACGTACACCCGTGAAACCATCATCATAATTAGGGTAATAAACATATCTATCACTTTTAAACACTTCCTCGTGTCCCTTTGTTTTTTGTTTTGTTTTGTGGTAAGACACTTAACATGAGATTTGTTAAGATGGCGTCATCTTAACAAATTTTTAAGTGCATATTATAATATTGTTGACTATAAGAATTATGCTGTACAGTAGCCCTTTAGAATTAATTCATCTTGCCTAATTGAAATTTTACATGAATTGAACAACTCCCCACTTCCCCTTTCCTGTTCCCCAGTAACCACCATTCTATTCCCTGCTGCTATGACTTTGACTATTTTAGATACTTCATATAAGTGGAATCGTGCAATGTTTGTCCTCCTGTGACAGGCTTATAACACTTAACGCCCTCCAGGTTCATTTCTGTTGTTGCAAAGAGCAGGATTTTCTTTTTTTGTTTTTAAGGCTGAATTCATTCATCTGTCAGTGGACACCTGGGTTGTTTCCACAACTTGGCTATTGTGAATGGTGCTGTAATGAATGGAAATGCAAATATCTCTTATAGATTATGATTTTAATTCAGGTATATGAAAAGATGTTCAGTGTCGCTAATCATCAGGGAAATGCAAATCATCACCACAATGCGTTATCACCACATAACAGGGTGGCTAGTATTTTTTTAAAAAACTATTATCAAAAGATAACAAGTGTTGGTGAGGATGTTGAGAAATTGGAACCCTTGTGTACAGTTGCTGGGAAGGTAAAATGATGTAAAACAGTATGGATGCTCCTCTGACCTCCATATGATCACACTTCAGAGCAAGCACACCTCTGGATCATATACCTCTGCATATATGATTTTAAAAAAAACAAAAATAGAACCAGGGAGTTGTTTCTACAGACCTCTTTTAGTTTATTACTGCTTTCTCAACTCTATCTCTGCTCTCAATCCCACGGTCCTACAATAGGCTTCTATGCTTCCAAAGAAGAAGGTGGGCACAGATGGTTATTCTGAGCAAATGGCCAACAACAGCTCTAGGGCATTGCTCACAGGATGGACATGATCTTCAATGAATGCCTTGGCCCAACCTGCTCTGTTTCATGGTTAACTCATCACACCTTTCTTTCCTCTGCCCAGCTCTTTCACACCTAGACCTACCTCTATGGCAAAGCCAAATTCTACTTTTGTGACTGAGATCCTTTTTGAAGGTTTTTCCAGCTTCAGGTGGCAGCACAGACTTGCCTTCTTTGTTGTCTTTCTAACTTTGTACCTGCTGACTCTCTCTGGCAATGTGATCATCGTGATGATTATTCGCCTGTACCATCATCTCCACACCCCCATGTACTTCTTCCTAAGTATGCTATCCATCTCTGAGACCTGCTACACTGTGGCCATCATTCCCCGTATGCTTTCTGGTCTCTTAAATCCTTACCAACCCATTGCCATTCAAGGCTGTGCCACTCAGCTCTTCTTCTATCTCACTTTTGGCATCAACAACTGCTTCCTGCTCATAGTCATGGGATATGACCGCTATGTGGCCATCTGCAACCCCCTAAGGTATTCAGTCATCATGGGTAAGAGGGCCTGTGTCCAGTTGGCATCTGGTTCACTGGGAATTGGCCTGGGCATGGCCATTGTCCAGGTAACATCTGTGTTTGGCCTGCCCTTCTGTGATGCCTTTGTCATCTCCCACTTCTTCTGTGATGTGAGACCGCTGCTGAAGCTGGCCTGCACAGACACCACTGTCAATGAGATCATCAACTTTGTTGTCAGCGTCTGTGTCCTTGTGCTACCTATGGGCTTGGTCTTTATCTCCTATGTCCTCATCATCTCTACCATTCTTAAGATTGCCTCAGCTGAGGGTCGGAAGAAGGCTTTTGCCACCTGCGCCTCCCACCTCATAGTGGTCATCATCCACTATGGCTGTGCCTCCATCATCTACCTGAAGCCTAAGTCCCAGAGTTCCCTGGGACAGGACAGACTCATCTCAGTGACTTACACTGTCATCACTCCCCTGCTGAACCCCATTGTGTACAGCCTGAGGAACAAGGAAGTCAAAGATGCTCTGCGCAGGGCCGTGGGGCAAAAGCCCCTGTCTCCTTAATGAGGAAAGGTTGTAAAGGCTTTATCTTTGAGTTTATAAATGTGTTAATATTTAATGCTCTTTCAATAATGCCCTGATGTATTGGATCAAGAAGACTAGACTAAATTGAACTGAGTGCTAAAATTGGAAGTTTCTGTTTGAGATTATCATGATCTTCTATGCCCTGCTCTAGAACAGTTAGAAAATAGTTTGGCATACACTTATGAATGTAGAAAAAAAATTGCACGCCTGGATTGTGCATACCTGACGTACTCTCATACACATGAACACAGTGACACATACCCTGAGAGTATTTCAAGTTATGTAACTCCATTAAAACATAAAGTCCAGCAGGCTTCTATAAAGCTAATGAGCAAAATGTTTGGAAACCACTTCAGAAAGATTTTCTAGTTGACTGTTAAGGGTGTCAGAATAATTTATGCCACATTTTTAGCAAATAAGTTAGAAGATACACACACGTATGCATTTCTGTGAACATTGAAGGCTTTCTTGTAAATCAAAAAACAAACAAACCAAAAAAAGCTAGAGACAGACCTTCCAAGCTGATGGAATTGCTCTAACTGACCCAGTAGTAAAGAGTGTAGATGTAGGAAAGCCAAAAAGCATCAACTACAGAGAACACAGACTTGAACTGTCCATACTCCTGAGATGCTCAGATCAGAAAACTCAGATAGAAAAGAAGAACATGCTGAAAAGGTTAACACTTTTCATACATTCAACACAAGAGTTAAAAGGATGGAGGTTGAAAGGCTCAGCAAAAGTATAGTTCATTTTGCCAGGTTGACATAAAACTCTCTGTAATAGTGTTATAAACGTAAGTACTTTAACTACAACTTCTGAAAAGAATTATTAATGAACGGAAACCTTATGCATGACTTAAATTTTTTCCGGTGAGCTCCTAAGCCTGCAGGGGTAAATTTTCAGAAGTTTTTTCTTTTATACTCCCAACTTTGAACCTGAGTTATAAACAGCATTTTATGTCTGAGCATCACAGAAGGTGAAAATATATGTTCTGGTGCAAGGAAGGATATTCTGTCTCTCATCTTTCTACTGCACTCTGGCCTTCTATACTGAAGAACAAGCATACCCTGAGTTTCAAATACACTCCTCCAGGATCCACAATCCATCTAATCCAATGGAGTGACCCTGCAGAGGCAAGATATCACTTCTGAAAGTCTGCAGGATGCTGAAAATGGGACAATTCATTTGAAATAAATTCTTTAAGTTAACATGTCTTGCTTTGCCAAAAAATTGTCATGTGACGTCTGACTGGGGATAAAAGATATCATTGTTTTAGTCTCCAGATTTCTAGAAATGATATAGTTTATTTCTTAGTAGTTCATGCTTAGTAGTTCTGCTTGATGTAATTAGCAGCCACTGGGTAAAGGTCTGCTGGCCAGTGCCACACTGTCTTCTATCTGAAGTTGTATTTGGTGAATGCTGTAGCACATCACCTGGATTGCACTCCCTCAGGACCCACACAAGCATTCCTCCAGCTGCTGGGAGTACCTTGCGCTAATGGCTGTCAGTTGAGTTCCCCTTCAAGATTGTCCTTGTTTTATTTTATTTATTTCTTTTTTGAGATGGAGTCTCGCTCTGTCACCCAGGCTGTAGTGCAGTGGCACGATCTCAGCTCACTGCAACCTCCACCTCCTGGGTTCAAACAACTCTCCTGCCTCAGCCTCCTGAGTAGCTGGGATTACAGGCACCTGCCACCACACTTGGCTAATTTTTGTATTTTTAATAGAAACAGGGTTTCACCATGTGAGCCAGCCTGGTTCCGAACTCCTGACCTCAGGCAATCCACCCACCTTGTTAAACAGCCGCTTCTTCCAAGGTCATGCTCCCTACTTAGGGATATACTACCTCTAGTGATTCGTCTATTTAGGGTGTTGCTTCGCCTTAAGACAACCACAAAGGGCTCTCCCAGCTCCAGAGGTTTTTGCTTGGCTACATCACATTTCAACATTTTAATTTTTGCCCAATACTGTTTTCTTCACTTCTTCACAAGTATAGATACCGAGAGCTAATAAACTTGCTGCATTCAAATCTCTGTCTCAGTGTCTGTTTTCTGAGGACCTCACCCTGCAACATTTTAGGATCTCATTTCTAAAACCGCCATTAATGTAAGTGAAGAATTCAAATTTTTCAGTCTTGATATATTCAAGTAAAGGCAGATCAGTAACTCCTATATTTTAATTTAAAATAATTTTATTCTATTTATTGAACTATATTTACTGTGATTCGATTTAGTTGGCAGCAGTGCAGTATTATCTTCTTGGAAACTGGTTAAAAAATTAAAATCTGAACTTTTCTCAGAATCCATAGGAAGTCATTCTTTTCTCTTCAAAAATTATCTGTGAGCAGTTTCCATTTCATTGCAGCCTGCTGCTGCTACTTTGCAGAGAGATTGCTGGCTGTTGTCAATGATACTTGAAAATTGAAAATAACAGGAAAGACTTAAAGCAGACTTATGTCATTCAATTTTCAAGAAGGGGAAGAGTGTCATTGTCATAAGTAAAATATAGAAGTGAAGCTGATTGTTGTGGTGAGCACGTTCATAGAGTAAAAGCTTTGTGGTGGGAACGTTGCAGTGGTCGAGGAAGTTGCAGATAGAGACTTGGGCTTGGTCAGTAGCTGTCCAGAGCTGGGCAAAGCAGCTACAGCAGGAAGAGAGCCCCACTCTCTAAGATTATCTAGAGTCCTAGGCTGGCAGGTGCCTCTGCTATCCTCAGCATAACACTTTTATCTCTGGATTGTCACCATTTCCCATTTAATGAGAAGAGGGAAAGAGCAGAATCTGTCTTCAAGTACTCAAATCCCCAACATGCTGACAAGATGTATCATTTGTCTGAGTCACCACTCTGAAAGTGGTCACAGGGGATTGTCTTCCATTGGCCACCAGTGGGGAGGTACTGACTTGGTTTTCAGAAAATTAGCCCCTAACTGTTGTGAGTTCATGATGATTCTTATCTACCAATTTGGAACAGTGATCCATGGGAGAGCAAATTTTGCTCTATGAACTGGTCTTGACCAATTTGGTAGGAGACAGGAGGTGATAGAGGGGGCAACAAGGGTGAATCTAGAGTGAATTAGTTCTAGTCCAACCATCTTTATAACATATGTACTCCGTCTCTGGGATAGGAGAAAATATTTCATGTGTAAAGGCATCTTTATAAATGCCATAATTTAGGGGTTCACAAAATACTCAAGCCCTGACTCTATATTCTAGATTCCCTCTGGAGCAAGAGATGAATGACTATCAAGAAGAAAATGGGTAGAAATAAATGGGTAGGTCTGGTACAAATGTGGAATTTAGATTCTGTACATAGAAGAGTACAGTGAAAAAAGAGACCAATGTGTGGATGATGAAGGAAAAAATTACACTGGAGCTTCTCAGGGAATGTATTCTAAGCCTTAGTGCCTGGATAATTACTACATATGAACTTAAAGTAACGAATTACAAACTATCTGGGCTCCAAGGGACCTTTGAGACCACCTCTACCAGACTCCCAGTTTTAACAAAGAAGGAATAGAATCTCAGAGACTGGCAAATAACTTGGCTGAATCACAGCTAGTTAGCAGCTTGAATATCCAAATCTGTGTTTTGTCCATAGTCCCCTCAATCTTGCAGTGAGGAAAAAGGGGAAATAAAAGTGAATTGTGATTCTCAAGAACCTATAAAATCTCTCAGAAAATGTATCTCAAGCTGATCAATCCTGGACTTTCTATCGATATCAAATATCTCTCATTTTTTAACTCTGAATCACTGGCCTCAAACCCTTGTCTGAAATAACGGAGTAAATTACTGTTTAGCCTGATGCCTGGAATGCTGATGTGCTGTGTAGAGCACTGGGGAGAAAGGTGTGGTGGAAAGGCTGGTCCCAAGGCTAAAACCTAAGATAGACCTTGTTGAGGTGGCAGCGGAAGCATCCTGAAGCGACACCAGGGAGTCTCCTAGGAAAACTTTGCCTGGCCTGTTGTTGCCAGAGAAATCTCCTCTCCATTGGCCAGACTTACTTACTACATGAAGCTAAGTGACAAGGGTATTCACTGGGAATCTGGCCATTTCTTGCCTCTCTGAAATGATTTTTTTTTAAGTGGAGGAGAGTTTGAAGAAAGAATACCAGATCCCTATTCAAAGTTTTAAAAAGAACGGGAAAACGTTTCAGTCATTTCCCTCTTCGTCGTGGCCCAAAAACATTCCTTGGAAAAAACAGGACTTGTGGGTCTCATGGATATTTCAATGTTTCTCCCCAGACACTCACCCTCATACTATTAATTGTTCTAAGACACAGGTAACCTATAGGAATTCTGACCTCTCACTGATTTCCATGAATCCAGGGTCAGCACTAACAATATGTTGCCCATCTTCCTTAGTGCTTTCTCTAAGCCCTGAGTATAAATATTTCTGTGGGCAGGCTCATGGGGGTAGGAGATAGTGGTGGCAAAGACTAGTCTCATGTAGGTGCTGAAAGCTCCTAAATTTGTATAAATCTTTGCAATTAACAAAGAACTTTCAAATAAGCCTCTTATTTGATTCTCAGAACTCTAAGAGGTGGACAGGATGATTATTATCATTTTTTTTTCACAAATGAAATACTAAAGCTTATGGATGCGTAAGAAGATTTTCCCGGATTTCAAATCGATAAAGTAGAAGAGTCAGGATTTGAATTCATGTCTTTTTCTGTATGGTTTAGTCTCTTTCTAATGGATGGCTTTATAATGGCAGACAGTTGGCTAGATTCAGTGACTCACAGCTGTAATCCCATATTTTGTGAGGCTGAGGTGGGAGAACCACTTGAGGCTAAGAGTTGGCAGCCAGCCTGGGCAACATAGCAAGACTCCATCTCTACAAAAAATTCAAAAAATAAATCGTAGGTAGAAACTTAATTTCATTTACTCCATGATAGAAGACTGAGCCTCCAATGAATGTGATGAGGACAAAAAATGAGAGGGAAAATAAACCAAAACTCTCTAGTTTTTTTTTTTTTTTTGCCCAAAATCTTATTCAGTCCTGGACTGTTTTCAGAGCTGAGGGTTTTGGTTATTATTATTCGCTGGAATTTACCCCAAATTCTTGGTTCAGGTGCTGTATAAAGATACAAGTTCAAGATATAAATTTGGGAGGGGTAAAAACAATCGGAGAAGAATCCTGGACTATACTTTGTCCTGAGACTCCTATGTCTTGAGATTGTCCCTGATTCTGCCAAGAACTGAAAGTTCATATACAGTAAGTTAAAGAGAAAGCACTCACTGGCATCCTACTATGTCTTTTCATTCCTGGAACGTACTTACAACAGTCAAGAGAGGACATTTCTAACCTAGAACTTCATGGTTCTTGCCTTTAGAAGAAAACAAACAGTCAGCAAGGCTTGAATACTTAGAAGCATTTTGTTACATGGCTTTATTTTATTGAAATTGAGAACTTCTCTTTTACAAATGCTAGTAAATGAATCTATTTATTCTTTCATTTATTCTACCAGTGTTAATTGAGCACTTACTATTACATGCCACTTAACAAGTTTCAGTCAGTTTAATGAAGCATTTCTATAAATCTTTCAGCACAGACATTTCTATATATATTGTAAGCTGTGTTTGACAATTAAGTAGTAATTGCTGGTGCTGGAAAAAAATAATGTTGCAAATATTTCTTGAGTAATTCTATCAGTTGTTTTTGGGGTTTGGCTTAGGATGTGGGCTCAGAAGTTTGAAGCCTTTCCTGTTTCTCTTAATCTTCAAGAGAAATGTGACCTGCCGCTGAGTCGAGATAAATAATCCTGTGTCCACAACAAACAGAATCGCCACCAACAATGGTATAAAAAATTGTAGCCAGTACTTGTCACGCTGAGCTGTAGTAGAACACAGATGCAACAAGAACCATAATTCATATTGGGAACTGAAGAATGAGGTTCAGAGGTTCATCTTCCCTAAGAGAAGGACCAACATTGGTCCTTCATTTTTAGCATGATGTGGCATCCAGAAGCATAAAGAAAACCCTCAGATTAACACTAGGTTGAGTTGCTCTGTTGGTGCTCCCTGGAGCCATAGAGAATCCTGAGCATTTCCTCATAACTCCTGTCTAACAGTTACTATAGCCAGTGTGCCCAAGGGGGAAGATCATAGGAAAGACAACCCCCTTTTGGAACTGACAAGACCAGCATTCACATAAAATTAAGGGGTGGAAAGGAGATAAAGTGAGGGCAGTGGTCATCATTGCCTATTACTCGATTAACTAATCATCATTTCTTACATGCCTGTTAGGCAAAATGAAGAAATTGCACTAGTTAAATTGCCTTCCAATTCTATTATTTTGTGGTTCTGTTAGTCTGTTTATATACTGTACTAATTTTTGTGATTATTTTCATATTATGGATCCTCATAATAGTACAGCCAAAAATCACTTAAAGATCACCTAGACCAGTGATTCTCAACACTGGCTACACACTACCATTATGTGAAAGATCTTTGAAAAATACTGGCACCCAGGCTGCACCCCAAACCAATTAAATCAGAATCTCAAGAGATGAGACATGATCATCAATACATTTTTTTAAGTTCTTAAATGGTTCTAATGGAATCGAGACCAAATCTTGTGTTTTACAGA